GATTTTATTTTAAAAGCATAAATTAAATCGGTCTTTTCTGGCCGAGAAATTAGGGGATGTCACATTTTAAGACTATGGTGTGTTGTTAGAAGCGTAGAGCTCCTCTCCACCTTTCCATGGATATAAAGTTAGTTGGAAACGGGCTTATAACGAAGAAGTTATGGTAGTTTGAAGTTTTGGCAAGTTTGGCCCTTGGTGGAATAAGTTGGCAGATTAGTCCCATGTGTTGAGCTAAGGGACGCATGGGTGGACCAGGTACGCCCAGCGTACCTAATGGTACGCCCCGAGTAATGGTCAGAGTGCCAAACCTTATTTTTTTTAGGGTTTGGGCACTATATCAACATCATTATAACCTCAAGACTCCCTCATTTATCAGCCTCCATTGCTCTAAAATCCTAATTTCGAACCCTAGCCTTTTCCAAGAGTGTTTTGAACTCTTTGTGTGCATATTTAGTGGGCTTTGGTGATTATTCAAGAAATGGAACTTGATGCAAGGTGTTGGATCGAAGGAAGGCTTGTGGATATGGTCTTTCTTTTTCTTTTCCAGCTCAATAGAGGTATTAAGCTCTAACCTTGCTCATTTGAAGCCTAGATCTAGTATTATATGAGTTTTGGTCCCATTTTGGTTTCATGGGCGAGATCTTGTGGTTTGCCACCACTCCAGGAGCTTTGAATTGTTACTCTTAGTATCTCTGAGGTTATTAGTTCATAAAGATGATTGCTTGATGTTTAAAAATGGACCATGCATGTGTTAAGGTGGTTTTTATGGGTCTTAAAGGATTAATTTGCATGATTGGGCCTCATTAAGACATGCAAACTGATAAAGTTGCCAACTTTATCAGTTAAGAGCTTATTTCGAAGGTTTCATGAGGTTTTGGGGCCAAGTGCTTAAGGGATTAAGTCATGAACCAAGTTTGGATAAGCCGTGTCTACGCCCAACATAAATGGCCCAATGCCATTTTGTGCTCGTTTGACATTTTTGGACTTTGGGCTTTGGTTTTGGGTCTTGGGCTTTGAGAGTTGGATTTCTTGGTCTGGGAAATTATTTTTGGATTCAGACTCATTTTTGGATTAGATTATGGGCTTTCCTTGTTGGGCCTTGGTGGGCCCAATGGATTTGGACCAATAGTGGGCATGGTTAGTTGAGCTATCTTTGGGCCTAGTGTTGGGGTTTAGCCTTGTTTAGTTATTGATTATGGTGTTGGGTTGTTTGGCTCAGTTCGGGAGTCGGTTCGTAGCAGCAGCGGCAGTGTAGGATTATTCGCGTAGCGTTTGAGGTGAGTCTTCTCACTATACTTACCTGTGCGGAAATTTATGTGTGACCGGAGGGTCTTATTCATGTTATTGACCGGTGGGTCTTATTCGTATTATTGACTGGAGGGTCTTATTTGCTTATACTGGGATATGTATTATTATGCATTCTATCTTTGTGACTTATGTTGTTATATTATTTTGTGTATATATTGAGACATCACCGGAGGGTCCATACCGAGGTGTGGGACCGGAGGTTCTTCACTGAGACACATGACCGGAGGGTCCTTATCGAGATATAGCCATGAGAGGCTAATCATCTGTGTATGTGGTATTTTGGGGAACTAAATTACATGATGGAAAAAAGAATCAAGTAATTCTGACTTCATATGAATGAGTTATGCGCATTTTAAAATCGGTACAGATTCCAAAATATAAAAACAAAATGCTGAAACAGAAAATACGCAACATTGATATGTTATTTTTCAGGGTTTATAGCTGATTCAATATCTAACCAGATATGTGTTTGTACAGTCTAAAATGAAGTACAAACACCAAATTACATGCTGAAAAAAAATTAAGTAATTCTGACGTCATATGAATGAGTTATGCACATTTAAAAAAAGGACAAATTCAAAAAAAAAAAAAAAAAACAAAAAAGTGTTGAAATAGAAAAAATGCAACATCGATATTATTTCTTTCGGGGCATGTGTCTGATTCAATATCTAACCAAAATATATGGTTGTATAGTCAAAAATAAATTACAAACTCCAAATTACATGTTGAAAAAAATCAAGTAATTCTGACTTCATATGAGTGAGTTATGCACATTTTAAAAAATGGGAAAAAACCGGTTCCAATTTTTAGTTACGGGACCGATTTTCATAAAAATGGAGAACCGGTAACCGGACCTTATTACCAATTCTGGTTCTGGTCCGGTTCCGATTCCGGTTCCGACGGTTTTAATGCTCATCCCTACTTCTAGGTCGAAAGGGAGGTGATAGAGGCTGAGGGTGTGCAAACACTAGCCATCACATCCTTTAAATTGGGATTAAGGCCCGAAAAATTAGGGTTTTCATACAGATGGCTGCCACGCCGTGGCCAATATCTTGCCACGTCGTGGCACCCAAGAAAATGTACGTTTCACCCAGGTGCTTCCACGTCGTGGTGCTATCATCACCACGTCGTGGCCACCACAAAGTCTAGGTTTAAGCCATAAATGTCCACATTTATAAAGGTAACTATACTTGGAACTTGGGTGTTACAGTTTATTTCATGTACATGCATTGAATTTTAGCCTTAAGGTTATGTATTTTAGTAACTTTGGGACAATTTATGATTTTTAGTGGAGCATTTTATATTATGTGATTTTTAGATGATTTTTCGGTCCAATTGAAGGCATGGTTGTAGTCAAAATTTCAAGCAAAGGGGATACATATGGATAAAGTTAATAGCGAGTCTAAATTTTTGGCTATAAAATATGGATGACCCCTAACACACAAAGGATACAAAAATCTCTTATACAATTTTAATCCCCATTATCAAAGATTAGTTGAAAGAATCTATGGGACCTTTGTTGACGATCATATGTTACATATATTTTATGCATCATTTACAACGTTTATTTCATGTACATGCATTGAATTTTAGCCTTAAGGTTTTGTATTTTAGTAACTTTGGGACAATTTATGATTTTTAGTGGAACATTTTGTACTACGTGATTTTTTGATGATTTGTCGGTCCAATTAAAGGCATGGTTGTGGAGAAAATTTCAAGCAAAGGGGATACATATGGGTGGAGTTACAAAAAAATTTACAAGAAAAATAGAAAATTTGCACGAACCATGTATTTTTAGTCACGAGAAAACATCGTCGTGTTTTTGGAAGATCTTGAGACTAAACTTTTGAAGGTCGAAGAAACATGGGCCATGTTTTTTTACCATAAAAACACAGGTTGTGTATTTGATGAAGTTTTCGATTTGGGGAATGTACTTTGGAGATTAGGCTAAGCACTTTCACAAAACACCGGGCAAACTTTTTGTTACCATTTTTTTTACATGGGCCGTGTAATTGAAGATTTTTTATTTGGGAAACATACTTTAGAGGAAGTTCATATTCAGGTAACACACTTTGATAGAAAACGGGCCATGTTTTTTCCCACATGAAAAGCACGACCGTGTAATTTTTCGGAGCAGTCGAATGATTTCACAAAGAGGGGAACTGTTGGTGAATTGTTTCACTAATTGTATTTAAGTGTAATGGATTGACTTGTTGACCAAAATCAATCTTGATGAATATTAAACCCGATTTTGACTTTATTTTGAACATGTGTAGAAAACCCGAATTTGTGACAGTTTCTGACTGTTACAAACTGCCTTGTGGAAGTTTAGACAGTTTTAGGTCATAAAACTGTTGGTGACAGTTTTTAGAAATATAAGAGATAATCTGTTTTTGGTTATATCTAGTTGGTACATGAAAATCATACTAAACATTCCCTGTTCTTGTTCTCTGAATTTTCCGAGTCTTATCCGGTTGAGGATTTGGGAGTACCACCAAAATACTTCGATTTTAAAGTGTATAAAACGATTCTCAAAATTCTAAGTGTAATTCTTATCCCAAATTTCTAACAGGAACTAGGCTCATTTTGTGGTGATTGGATTGCATATACGCATGTATGTGATTTTAAGGATATTTATGAGTGCGGTATAAACAAATCAAAATTTTGTCAAAAGGTAAAAACCGAAAAACTTAAAGGTTTTTATGAGATTATCCGTTGCCAAAATATAAAACATAAATTCCTAAAAAATTTAAGGTTTTTTATAACATTATTTCCTAATAAAATGGACGTAGGACCTTCACAAATGCGTTGTTGTTCGTGTGCTACACTCGACCACGGCAATGGAGGCACTAATCGCGTCGTACGGCGACACTTCTTCCGACTCAGAATCAGATTCTCAACCGCCGCTTGCCGCTTCCGATGACAACCACTCACCACCGCCATCCATTCTTCCTCCACCGCCTATCGACCTTCTTAACCCTCCCAATTCATCCGGTAAGTTCAGCAAAAGCCTATACGTATTGTACATAAACCCTAAAAAGCAATGACACCAAAAAACTCGGAGCTTGGAGCGTTCGAATTTTTATGATAAGTTTTGGTTTATTTTCAGGAACGTTCGATTACTTGCAGCGTAATTCGGCCAGTAGAATTCGGAGCTTCCCTCACATCGAAGGCAATTACGCATTACATGTTTACATCCCAGGTTTCATTTCTCTTTTGTTTTTCTATTTTTGCCTCACAGTTTGAAACATTTTACACCTCCTACATTTCTTGGTACTAACTCGACTTTTAAAATCACAAAATACTTGATCGATGGACGTCTTTTACTAAAAATTCTGAATAAATTGACAAAGAAAATGAGGACCTTGTGTATCAAAATCAGTAAAATCAAAATGTTTGAAATTTGTGAATCAGTATGGGACATTCATAAAGGAAATTCCTGCCATTTTTACAGGGAAAGAGGATTCAAAGATTGGGAAAAAATTTCTTATATAAACTAAGATTGACATTTAGAAGTCGTAATCTGTGAGTTCAAAGTCTTTGTTTTATACTTTATTATCCGTGACACGAAAAGTTGAGATTTGACTTATAGTTGTGTAATTTATTAGATTTTTACAACATCTTATTAGCCAGTATTTGGTTTGCAGGTTTTTATTGTGAAACTCCTGATCTTTAAAGTACTGACTGCTTCATTGACAGTATTACATTGCAACTGTTTATTTGTTCTTGATTAGATTGTCTGACATAAACCAGTTATATTATATAGTATTTATACCATCTGAAAGAAAGAAAGAGCTGGCCCTGTTTTTGAAGAAAGCGACTTCAGTTATACCAGATCTTCATGTTGTGGATATTGATGTTCCATTATCCATGCTTCTAAAAGATGAAGAGAAGCTAATACAAGTTGCCTTAGGGAGGGAATTTCACATAAGTCTTGGAAGAACTGTTCCCATTCGTGTCCATCAAATAGACTCGATGGTCGCAATGCTTCGCCAAAAACTTCAGTTTCAGAAACGGTCTCAACCTTAAACCCTTCAATCTTCAATCTTCAATCTTCAATATCAAACTTTGTTTAAGTTTTAGTTTATTTTTTTTTTGTTTTTGGAAACAGGTATTTGATTGATTTCAACAAGTGGGAGGTTTTTGTGAACGATGATCAGACACGGACATTTCTTTCGGTTGAAAATACAACGCGAGGTGTAGCTGAGGTAACGAAACAGATCCAAGCTGTTAATGAGGTTTACAAGCTGCACAATCTTCCTGAATTTTACAAGGTTAGTTAGTGTTGTTGTTCATAGAGACTTAATAAGTCCAGTTTGATTTACATGTGATTATAACATGAAGAATGCTGTGTTATTTGACGCTACAGGATCCTCGGCCTCATATATCTATAGCATGGGGAGTAGGGGATATTAGTGAATCTGTTAAGAGAGTGGTGGAAGGAGAAATGAGAAAATATGTTGGAGGAATGTCCACAAGATGTATGTTTACCTGCAAATTTAGTAGCATTGTGTGTAAAGTTGGCAGTAAAACCTATAATATATGTGGATCTCAACCACAATGAACATGAACCTTCAAAATCACCGTGGAATTTCGTTTAAAATATTTAACATTATTTCCCAAATCATGCAAATTTGAAGGGGAAAGTAGAAAGTCCATTGGATAGCTGCTACCAAGAAAATGCAATAAGGTTCCTCCATTCTCAACCAATTTCTATAAGAAAGTTATTGATGCAGATGACATGGTTACCAGGTACTTGTTAGTTGTTACAATCTTCATAATTGCAATATATTATATATTGAGCTTGTTAACCATATACAGTTCTTGCTGGACATATCAATCCATTAATCGGTCTGTCTATTTGATCCATTTATCATGCCCATCCATCCAATCCCTTCATTTGACACACACATACACACACCCAATATTATGAATCAGTCTCGATAGTTTCGTTGTCATATTACCGTGTATACCGTCTTTCAATTAGATCAATTTCGTGTTATTAAAATAAAATATTATATCCTTTTGTTTTGTGTTATTAATACTTTATAAAACATTGTTTTGTCATTTCTGAGACCCATTGGCTCGTGTAGAAAAAAACACCATTCTACCTGTATAAGGTGGGACATAAATCGACTGTTTGGTATCTCTCTCTCTCCATTGACTGTGACTTTTAAAAAAGGCATTGCATATGAATTATTTGATTTGAAGGAGAAACTCTATACAAGTGGATCAAGTCGTAACATATTTCTTTTGGCGTTTATTATTTAATATAAATTTATCTTATTATGAAAAGACGTTCGTTATAATGATTTATTGTGAGTTTAACTTTTACTTTTCATAATATTATATATTACACAAGACCAGTGCATTATATTAGATAATTAAAGGCTTAGAAAATGAGGTTATATTGTCATTTTATGTTGCACTTTATTTTACAAAAAAAAAAAAAAACTAGCTTAAACGGGTAACTGATGGTTGGAAGTTAGTAACTGGAAGCTAGATGTAACTTTTATTTATATAAATATTCGGCAAATGCAGATGTAAGCTTTTGAAATATGTTAATTATATTAAATCTAAAAGTTAAAACTTAAAAGCTTATAAAAATGTTAATTATATTAAATCTAAAAGTTAAAACTTAAAAGCTTATAAAAGCAAAAAATTTGAAGTGACTTTTGAATTCAAAGTATTTCAATAGTTTAAAATGATAGTTTAATCTCATACTTCCGAAGAATTCAATAGTTTAAAATGATAGTTTAATCTCATACTTCCGAAGAAGTTCGTATTTTTATTGAAGTTATTAAAAGCTCTCAAAAAATCTGTCAAACACGCTCTCACAGGAAACATCATATTGTAGAAACCCATAAAATGATATTTATATATTACACATTTTATATTTTATATACTAGGCAATTCTAAGAGCCGTCCTAGTATCGTGGTAGGTTGTCTGTTCGGCTTGTACAGACTACAGAGGCAGTTAAGTTTCTTTTTGAATGTGTAAATGAATGGAAATAGCAAGTTACTATGCTCTTTCTATCAATATAAGACACTATGATTTGCCTGTTATAATTACATGTTTTTACGAATAATAGCAGTGTCCTTATGTTCTTTTACCATAATGTTGTTTTACAAAATATATACTTCATATATATGTACCAAAAGATATAATCATTGAAGTGATTTACATTATGCAAAATTTAGCCACATAACATTTGAAGTCATTCACATTATGTAAAATTTCGACATGACGGTGCATCGAGTAGTCTCCGATTTATATTTTCATCTAAAAACGCCAAAATAGTGACTTACCTTGCATGCTTCATTTTTTCATGTGCACGATACCCTTCAAAACACAAAATCTACGTGAAGTTTTGTTTTGAATTCATTTTGCCTTTTTAACAGCCCTTCCCTAGGCGGTGGTGGTTTCTATAATTGTTTGTGCCTTCATGATTCTGAATCTGGTACTTAACTTGAAAACATCTAGATTTATGGATCTATTTCTTTTATCCTTCCATCTTAGAATGGCTCGTCTCTGAGACTCTTCCTTGTTAAATCTTATAACATCATCATTGTCTGCAGAAACCAGGTCGTTGAACTTTAAAGTACAACGTATATTTTTTTATTAACATATGTTCCATCATATTCTGTAAATTTTCTCTTATTTCCAAACATGGCAAACTTATAGCTATGTCCAACTAATGCCCAAAAGAACAGATCTTAAAACAATGATGGATATGCATTCTTCAAGGGAACAATGAAGCACAAATCTTGAAAACGGAATTAAACGAATAAAGGTCCCTTCACATGCGTGGCCTGTAGGTGTTTGGTAAATATTGTGAAATTATTGTAATTCTATATTTGAAAAAAATATGGAAGTAGATTGCCCTATGACAAAAGGGAGAACGAAAGTTTATAAAAGTTGAAAGTACATTGCCATGAAAGGAGAACATTATATTCCACAAATTCTCATTCTTTCGATACTTTTTGTCTGTGTGTGTGTTATTTTTGTTTGTGTATAACATAATAAAAAACACACTTCGACACACACACTAATGTTCACTTTTTGCTAAAAAGTCAACTGTTTTAAAACCAATTCATAAATGGTCACAGTTTCTACATACAGTTTAAATTTAACGAAAATAAAAAAAAATTAATTTATCATCTAATTTCTTCTATGATTATTCTACCTGAAGAGCAGAGTGCAAATTTAAAGAGAACGACTCCTTTTGTCTTTGAGGATATAGATAGTTATCTTTACAACAGAGATGTTTAAGGCCAACAGAAAATTTCATTCAGAAATAAGAACGTGTTCCTAATGCAGTCAAAAGTGCGAAACCTGATAAGTGTTTTCTAAAAACATTTACAACTTAAGAAACACCAACAAGATAATCAGATTTATTAACCGAAAACCAAGTTATCACATTGATAATGGGGAGGAATTATCAGGGGCATGGGGTTGAACATAACATAGTGGCTGACACCTCCTTTAATATTAAATGATGATTTTAGTCTCATTAAAAACATGTTTTCTGATTAAATATGTAATGGTTTAAGACTATGAACTTTGATAAGAGAGACTTAAATAACAATTAATGAATGATTGACAAACAACTTATGACTAGTTCCATGAAACCTGGTAAATGGTTTACTTTCAATCTTCTAAATCTCCTTAATTTTCTTTTACTTCTTTTTGCATTTTTAAAATCTACAGACTTCATTTCAATTTTAAATGGATTTTCTCCCAAGTGATGTTACAGTTAACACATTAGGTGCTTCTATTCCACTACACAAGGTACAATTCATGTCTACCCTCATGTTATTACATATATTAGGAAAAAGTTTATATTTTATTTCTTTCATTTTATGCAATTTCCAAAGATGGTGTGTACAATTAACACAAAAATGACCAATCGTCTTCATGTAATCATGTAGTGTAGACGAGTATTAGAAGTGGATATATTAAAAATACAAAAAAAAAAAAAATCTTAGAAAAAGACACAGATAAAAACCAATACGAACATTGATTACTATGAAGACATTACAATGAAGTTAAAGAAAAACTATTATAATTTCTTCATTTATCTAAATAAAAGAACAATAAGACGAATACTTACAGCATGTGCAGTGGTTTATAGGCTTTTAGGTGTGGGCAACGCCCTTCCCGTTATAACATCACAAACACCGCCCCTCCTTCCCCTTTTTGAGCGTTCACCACCACATCCTATAACGCCCGTTATACCCACCACATACCACATATGTGGTGGGTGTCATATCAGCACCACATTCCACTATCACTAACACACCACTCCACATCATTATTTTTATTTTTTTTAATTCAAAAATACAATAAAATTACATTTTTTTAATTCAAAAATACAATAAAATTACATTTTTTATAATTAAAAAGCATTCATTTTTTTTAAACTATTTTTTCATTAATTATAAAAATAAAATAACAACTTGAAACTACATTACTTAGTTAATCTAGAAAAAAAACATTACATTAATTAAAAAAACAAACAAACATACATATAAAAATCCTAATCGTCGTTCATGCTACGTTGGTACAAATGTTCCGCGACATCTTCTCGAAGATTGAAACACGTTTCACTGTTATGAATTTCAACAACTCGCTCTAAAAAAGCATTCGTTCCGGGTACGAACTCTTCAATTGGAACGACAACGTCGTTCGGATCATACGTGCAAATCGCTCGACCTTCATCTTCAATAATCATATTATGCATTATAATACATGCTAGGACCATTCGTTTAATTCTTTCTTTATCCCAGAGTCGTGTAGCATATTTCACTACATGCTATGTCTGCTTAAGGACTCCAAATACACTCTCGATATCCTTTCTCGCCGATTCCTGTTTTTTTGTAAAAATTTTTGCCTTTTCACTTCGAGGAACCGAGTATGCCTTCATCAATGTAGAATAATCCGGGTATATCCCATCACCAAGGTAGTAACCGTATTTGTACGCGTGCCCGTTCACCGTGAACGTCATATCAGGTGCTTTGCCGGTCCAAATATCGTTGAAAAGTGGAGACTGGCCAAGAACATTAAGGTCGTTGTTAGACCCCGCTACTCCAAAAAGGCATGCCATATCCACAAATCTTGAGATGCAACAGCTTCTAGGATGATAGTTGGTTCACCTATATCTCTTCGAGTGAACTGACCACGCCATGCAGTTGGACATTTTTCCCAAGCCACATGCGTACAATCTAGACTGCCAAG